CGATCCAAAATCACATCAAACATTTAAAGTCGATCATATGCGTCTAGTAAGATTGTTTAAAATACTATATGTTGAACTATACAGGAAATTCAACAAGCTTAAACTAGATTTTAATATTAGACTGTAGCCGAAGTCGAAAGTCAAACTCCAGATGAAACAACAGAGCCATTAAGGTATGATTTAGTCCTTTAATTATCTAATTGTAAATTCATTTTTCATAAAGTAATCGAAGCATTGTTTCGTAGATCTGCAGTTGAAACAGCAATTTCAGAATATGTGACGGATCATTATCCCAAGGGCGCTTCGGCAACTTACTCTACAGGAGAAACGCTAACGATTGCAATAGTGGATAACAAATATAGTCCATCAAATCTCTGGTGAATAATTTTTCTTTAACATCATAAAAAAAAATTCTTTTTGTTTTAATATGGACAAATCTTTTATTACAGGAATGGTAGATGGCGGTCGACTTGGGTCATCTCACCTGAATCTGGAGAAATAAAAGGAACAATCAAAGTCAATGTCCACTATTACGAAGATGGGAATGTACAATTGAATTCTACAAAGGATATCGAAATCACCTCTACTCCAGTGAATCCAGAAGTATATTTCAAATATGAAAAAATTATTGGAATTTAGTAAGTTTAAGATAATTAAATCAATTATAATATTTTAAAGGACCTTGCCGCATCAGCTGCCGCTTATGCCAGATCAATTTGCAAAGCTGAAAATGAGTTTCAAAATGCATTGAATGAATCTCATGTTGAATTATCAGAACATACATTTAAGGGATTGAGGCGTGCTCTCCCATTGACACGTCAAAAGATCGACTGGGATAAGGTTTGGAATAATTTCTTGTACTCAATTTCCCATTAATTTATGTGATTTAACTTTTCTTTGTGTTTAAAGATCTCCAACTACAAGATTGGTCAAGAGCTTGCGAACAAATCATAATTGATCTAGTCAGGATCATTAGAATAGTCTGCTTGAATGTTAATACATGCATATATAAAACTATTAAATGTGCTTTGTTATAGTATGTCTTTATTTTGACACAACAAAAGTATTTTTATCTCAAATATCCTTTTTACAAGTATAATAAAACTATTATTACTGAATATTTGACAATATGTCACATCAAAAATCGTAACATCAATAATGGAAGTCATTCCAAATGAATAGCATTGACCAAATTTTTTTCAAGATTTTGAAAAATCTTGTTTTGTCTCAAATGTTCTTTAGCGAAAGCTTGTTTGAAAGACTTCTTTTCAAGCCGACGAGTCTGCATGAGAAAAAGTATAATTAATACTGCGAATTTGACATCTAACAAA